GAGTATTTCAGGATCACGTTATTTCTCAATGAGAAAGTCAGGAATGATGTGGGTGTCCTGAGTCCCGCCCCCCGCATTTACATCATACACCATGCCAACTAATACATAGGAACAAGAAGTAGAATTTTTATTATTTCTGCAGGATTTTCTTTATCTGATCTGCTTTGAACCTGTCTTAATTTCCAATCTCTGCAGTCACTTGATGATGTAGATCAAAGAAAAACAAAAAAGCATAAAGTCACATGAGAATTTTTTCACAAAAGGAAATCAAGAGAACAGAACTTTCTTGACCAAGCTTTTGAGATATAAACAGTTAATAAAATCAAGACATTAAATTAAGTTCATGAATGAAAATTCATACTTTATCAGTCTTTATACATACTTATGCAGTAAAATCTAAGATTGTTGGCATGTTTGTGGAATGAATCTTTTGATTAGTTGACATTATTTAATTTTATAAATGGTCCTTTTTAAAAAAATTTTTTTCAGGACCCCACAACACCTCTGGATTATCTTCAGAATTATCACCTTTAACTTGGTATTCATGGCTTCCCACATTCTTGCTTCAAACTAGCTTCTCTCCTTCTCTGCACTCTCTGCAAGAACCCTCTACTACAACTGAGCTATTGTCTGAATGTTGTGGACATTTCCACGTCTGCATGCACGTGTCCTTTGACTAGCTGCTCCCATCCTGATCTGATTCCCACACATCCACCAAAACACAGTTGTGTCCTTTTCCCTGGGTAAGCCCTTTCTGACCACCCCTGTCCCCAGTGACCTTGTTTCTCCTATGCTTTTAAAACACCATCTATACCAATTCCTTAAAAGCCATCATATATTGCATTGTAGATAATCTCCTTGAACAGAGGGGCTGTTTCTTCTATGTTTGCATCATTGTGTCCAGCATCTTGTAGCTTGGTATCCAACATATACAGCATTCAAATAAATTTCATACATAGCTTGCACATTAATAAGACATTTACAAATAAATATAAATTTTATGTAAATACCATACCTTTCCTTTTCTTGCAAAAGCAACTAGTTGAAGTTGTTGAAGTGACAAGAACACGCAATTATATTATTGGCAATACAAAGTTCTAAATGACAAAATTGTGTCATAAAATTAAATACTGAGTTCCTTTAAAATATTATTAATATGATTAATAATGTTATTAAAAAGCAAGTGCAAAAACATTTGGAGAAATAAATTTGAACCAGAACCTTTAACATAGAAAACCATGACAAACTTGAAACACAAATTATCTATTACCTAAAATATCTTTTTTTCCAATAGCATACTTTTTATTAATTTTTTTAATTGACAAATCATAATTGTATATATTTATGGGGTACATTGTGATGTTTTGATATATGTATCCAGTGTGAAATGATTAAATCAAGCTAATTAAATATCCACATCACTTACTATCATTTTTGTGCTGAAAAACTTGAAATTTACTTTCTTATTTATTTTGAGATATGCAATACATTATTGCTGACCATACTCACCGTGATATGCAATAGGTCTCAAAATTTACTCCCTCTTTCTAACCAAAATGTTGTGCCTTTTGACTAATAACTCCGAGCTCCCTCACTCCCCTGCCTGCATCACTGGTGAACATCTTTCAACTCTCTGCTTCTGTGAGTTAAACTATTGTAGATTCCACTATGTATGTGAGACGCAGTATTTGTCTTTCTGTGCTTGGCTTAATCCACTTAGAATAATGTCCTCCAGGTTCT